CAAGTTCGGAGGCTAGTGTCGATTCACGCGACTGCGGGTGGATGCGATTGGATGAACTCGTGCGCGAACATTTTGACTTAGACAATCTCGGTGTACGCGAGACCACGCGAGAAAATCCGCGACACGAACGCGCTCGAAAAATATTGGAAAATACAAGCAAGCGCGTCGGATCTTTGTGGGAGACCGGTCTTCTGTGGAAAAACGACACTCCTCCAGGTGTTGACAGTCGAACGACGGCACTTAAAAGACTTTTCTCGTTAGAGCGAAAACTAGACAATAATTCTGAGTACGCCAAGTTATATTATCGCGAGATGAATCGACTCTTCGACAACGGGTACGCGACGCTGGCAGCGGACGAGACACGAGAACGAATATGGTATTTGCCACACTTTGGCGTAACAAACGACTCAAAACCGGGAAAGTTACGGTTGGTATTCGACGCGGCGGCTAAATCTTCGGGCGTTAGTTTGAATGACCAGCTTGAGTCGGGACCCGATTTGTTGCAAGCGTTGCACGGAGTACTTATACGTTTGAGACAATACGCTGTAGCGGTCAAAGCCGATATTCGGGACATGTTTATGCGCATTGGAGTCCGAGAACAAGATCGTGGAGCCTTACGTTTCTTGTGGAGGGGGGAGGATAGAAAATCATATCCGGTCACGTATGAGATGACACGCCTCGTGTTTGGTGCCAACTCGTCGCCATGTAGCGCGTTGTACGTCAAAGATGAAAATGCAAAAACATTCGCGAAAAGCAAATCGGAAGCTGCCGGAAGCATCATAAAGAATTCATATGTCGATGATTTTCTGGCAAGCCGCTCAACGGTTAGTGAGGCGAAAAGGTTAGCAAGCGACGTGATAGATATAAATTCCCATGCGAATTTTGTGATGCACGGATGGGCCAGCAACCACCCACATGCCATCGACGAAGTCGAAGCGAGCGCGCGACTACGCGGTGACGATAGAACGAGACTTTGCGACCGAGATAACGAGCGGGTGTTAGGACTATACTGGGACATTAACGCTGACACATTGGGTATCAACGTGGGGCTGGCGCGTATACCGGGGGACTTGATGAACAACGTTAGGAGGCCCACGAAACGGGAATTTTTACGAATAATAATGTCGATTTTCGACCCGCTCGGATTGATTAGCCCTTTCATCATAAAGTCCAAGATAATCATGCAGGAGGTATGGCTTAGCGAAGTCAATTGAGAGGAGCCGTTACGAGAGGAAGAACACGCGAGATGGATGTCGTGGTTACTAGATCTGCAAGAGATAGAGAAAGTCCGTATCCCGCGTTGTCTCACTCCGAAGGTAGATTATTACGGGGACGCGCAGTTACACACATTTTGCGATGCGAGTCTTAAGGCGTATGCCGCAGCCGTGTACATTCGTATCGTGATTCCGGATTCTCCCGCACACGTAGCATTGATCATGGCAAAATCGCGCGTAGCACCCATGAAGCCCATGTCCGTCCCTCGACTGGAATTACAAGCGGCATTGCTAGCCGCACGCTTAACTTGCGCGGTCGCGAAAGAGTTAGAGATACCGTGTAGTAAGTGGTACATGTGGTCGGATTCACAAACAGTTTTACGATGGCTGAAGGCGGAGCCACATACGCGTCAAACCTTTGTTGCTCATCGTCTCGGAGAAATTAGCGAACTAGTTCCTTCTGCGATATGGCGTTGGGTGCCTTCAAAAATGAATCCGGCAGACTGTGCGACACGCGGAATTTGCGAAGATGCTAAAGTCAAACAAACGTGGTTCGAAGGACCAGACTTTTTAAAATTATCCGAGACGCAATGGCCTGTGTCAAAAGAACTTACTAACGCGGAGAAACAATCCATCGACGGGATGGAGAAACGTGTTACATCAATATATACAGTAAGCGAAATCCGCGAGTACTCGCCGCTCGTGGAGCGTCTTTTCGGGTGGCGTGGGTTAATTATTAGAGCACAACGAGTTCGCAAATACTTCGATCGATGGCGCAAAACGTCGCGTGGGAAGGATGATTTGACCTGATGCTCAAACAAGCCGAGAATTACGTCGTGCGTGTCTTACAGGGCGAAAGTTTTCCTGACGAAAGAAAAGCGCTGAACAACGGGTCGACAATCAAACAAAATAGTCAAATCATACAAGCGACGCGAGTACGCGCTACAAAATGGGATGAAATGGATGTTTAATCCTCCCGACGCCCCGCATATGGGCGGCGCGTGGGAGAGATTGATTAGATCTGTCAAAATCGCTTTAAATGCTACGCTCAAAAACGAGGTACCGAGCGATGAAGTACTCTATACTGTTATCACAGAAATCGAACATTCAATAAATTCCCGTCCGTTGACACACGTGTCCGCCTATCCGCACGATCACGAGTCCCTCACACCCAATCATTTTTTAATCGGTTGCTCCTCCGGCGATTTAAAACTCGGAAGTTATGATAACGCGGATACATGCACAAGAAAGCAGTGGCGCATAGCTCAAACGCTCGCAGACAATTTCTGGCGTCGCTGGTTAAGAGAATACGTACCCACGCTATTAACACGCCGAAAATGGACAAAAAACGTCGAAGCAATACAGGTAGATGACGTAGTCATGATAGTGGACTTGCAAGCGTCGCGAAATTCGTGGAAAAAGGGGATTGTGATCGACGTGTACCCAGGTGTGGACGGTGTTGTAAGGATGGCTAAGGTGAAAATTAAAAATAGCGTTTTCATACGGCCCACACACAAATTGGTGAAGCTTTTCAACACTCAAGAGGTACAAAATTAAGGGAATTTTGTACGGGGGAAGGGTTGTTACGGGAGAAAACGCTTCGGTACGAGAGAAGTTTGTCCATTTTCGGAGTTTGTTCGTTATGTTCGTTTTTCGTATATTGAAATAAAGTACATTGTACAAGCGTGAGGGAGTCATAGAATGTTTCATATTCACTAAGTCATAAGTGACACGCGGGCCGCCCGGTGACCCGTGGCACGGGTCACATGGACTCGTGGCCGTCAAGCCACATTGTAATCAAAGACCTCGTGGGTTGAAAAACTCGGTGGTGAAGGTCGTAAGCGTGCACGGGGGTCTCGTGTGGAGGACCCGGGGCCGTTCAGGCTAGCGCGGCGCCGGGGACACGGCGATCGAGACAGTAGAAAATAAATGTTGCTAGGTGACTCCCTCGCGCTTACCTAGATAAACAAAAATAAAACACGCTCCGATAGAGCTCATCGGATTTGGTTTAGATGTACGTGAGAAACGGCCGAAAGAAGAAGGTGCGTGCGGTTTGTAGTAGTAGGTTAAATTAATCCCGAGGCGTTGTTAATCTTAA